GAATCAAGATTGCTGGGAGATATATCAATAACAGATATACAAATGACATAACTCTTATGGTAAAAAGTGAAGAAAAACTAAAGAGCCTCTGATGAAAGTGAAAGAGGAGAGTGAAAAAGTTGGCTTAAAGCTCAACATTCAGAAAACAAAGATCATGGCATCCGGTCCCATCACTTCATGGCAAATAGATGGAGAAACAGTGGAAACAGTGGCAGACTTTATTTTCTTGGGCTCCAAAATCACTGCAGATGGTGACTGCAACCATGAAATGAAAAGATGCTTGCTTCTTGGAAGAAAAGTTATGACCAACCTAGACAGTGTGTTAAAAAGCAGAGACATTACTTTGCCAACAAAGGTCCATCTAGTCAAAGCTATGGTTTTTCCAGTAGTCATACATGGATGTGAAAGTTGGACTCTGAGCACCGAAGAATTGATGCTTTTGAACTGTGGTGTTGGAGAAGACTCTTAACCAGTCCATCCTAAAGGAAATCAGTCCTGAATGTTCATTGGAAGGACTGATGTTGAAGCTGAAACTTCAATACTTTGGCTACTTGATGTGAAGAACTGACTCATTTGAAAAGACCCTGATACTAGGAAAGGTTGAGGGCAGGAGGAGAAGGGGATGACAGAGGATAAGATGGTTGGATGTCATCACCGACTCAATGGACATGAGTTTGAGTAAACTCCGGGAGTTGGTGATGGACAGGGAGGCCTGGCGTGCTGCAGTCCATGGGGTTGCAAAGAGTCATATACGACTGAGCGACTGAACTGAATTGAACTGATTCTTGGTCCTAAAGGTTTTTGCAGCAAAAATGGGCTGTTCTTCCCATTTAAGGGGTGATTTTTCAACCTGCTTGTGGTTTTATCTCTTTCTGATCTCCTTTACCTGTGGGCAGAAGGCCCAAAGAGTCCAGGGAGAGGTCTTCGAGTGCCAGCCTTGGGTGTACTCTGTCTTTGCGAGGTAGCCTGACCTGTTTCTTTATTGTAGGAGTTCTATCTCTCACCTCCTTTTATAAGTGCATCTCTGGGGTGTGGTGGGAAGGGGGACAAGGATTGATGGTGGGGAGCTGCAGGGGCCCGGGGAGGGAACTTAAAAGCAAAGAAGTTAATAATAGCATAGGAAACCTGCTGTAAACCAAATGTTTGTGCCCTCCCTCCAATTCATATATTGAAATCCTAACCCGCAATGAGATAGTATTAGAAGACAGAGCCTTTGAGAGGTGATTAGGTCATAAGGGCAAAGTCCTCATGAATGAGATTAGTGCCCTTATAAAGAGACCTAGAGAGCACCCTTGTCTCTTCTACTATGTGATGATACAGCAGGAAGATGGTCATCTGTGAACCAGGAATTTGGTCCTCACTAGACACCACACTGCCAGTGTCTTGACCTTGAACTTCCCAACCTCCAGAACTTTGAGAAATAAGTTTCTGTTATTCATAAAAACCCAGTGTATTTTTTGGGGGGGGGGTTGTTGTTGTTAGAGCAGCCAAAAGGGACTAAGACCAAAGATCTTTCTTAGAATTTAGAAATTTCTTAGAATTTCTTAGACTTGTGCGTCAAAAAAGTAAGTTCAAGGTCACACACCTGAGATGATATCCAACATTTATTCTGAACTTACTGTGTGCCAGCAATCTATGCCCACAGGTCCTAGACATGCAAAAATAATAATTACAGCAGTAGTAACTGCTGCAGGAATAACAGCAACATTGTTTGTTGAGAACTGACAATATGCCAGTTGTCAGAGTAACTCAAGTGAGTCATCTCACTTCATCTTTCCAGTACATCTATGAGGTAGTGACTGTCATCCCATTTTACACATGGATAAACTGAGGACAGAGAGCTTAAGCAGCTGAACACAGCTAATGAGTGGCAGAGATGTGACTTGATCATAAGATTGGCTCCAGAGTGTGTGATCTTGTAGCTTAGAGTCCAGTGGGTAACACAGAGTGGTAAATACATGACACTGGTACAGTGTAGTTAGTGTCAGGAGAGCTCTGGGACATGGAGAAGGCCCCCAACTCAGTTGTTTATGGTAATCTGGACATACTTCCTGGAGGGAGATGACGGGGCCAAGAGTTGTCGAGTTGGAAAGATTGATATATGGGGCCTAATGAGATCAAGCAACTTACTTGTTCCATGTCAATCAACTTTGGAAAGGCAGTGCTGGGGTGGGACCCACATGTCCTTTGCAACGAATGATCCTGTGGATCCAAGTTTTCAGAAATGTACAGTGGTAATGTACAATATTAGCATTAGGGAAAACTAGTTGAAAGGTATAAGGACACTTTCTGTACTGTCTCTGCAATTTCTCCATAAGTCTAATATTCTAAAATCAAAAGGGTACTTAAAGCATAAAAGTCAACCAAGTGTTGATCAGGCTTTGGAGCAAGTACAACTCCTGTACATTTCTGGTGAGAATGTAAAGTGGTAGAATCACTTTGGGAAACAGTTAAACTTGAAAAGTTCAATGTTCAGCTACCATGCAGCTCAGCCATTCCGCTCCTAGGCATTTATTCAAGAGAAAAAAAATACATAATGTGTGTGTGACAAAAAGACCTGTACAAAGATGTTCATAATAGCTTTATTCATAATGAATCAAAACTGGAAACAATCATCAGCAGAGGAATGGATTAACAAACCATGGTGCACCCATACAGTGAAACACTCAGCAATCAAAAGGGACCATTGCAGCATGGATGAGCCTGAAGAACACCATGTTGAGCAAAAGAAGGCAGATAAAGGTGGAATCATACATACTGCATGATTCCATTTATAAAAAAAAAAAATTCTAGAACAGGCAAAGCCAATCTATAGTGACAAAAAAACTGATCAGTGGTTGTCTAGGGGCAGAAAGGGAATAGGAATTAACTGGGAAGGGGTAGGAGAGAACTTTCTGGGGTGATGGGAATGTTTTATATCTTGATTGTGAAAATGGTTACACAGGTACATACAGTGTATCAAAAACTTCTCAAATGGTTCATTTAAAATAGCTTCATTGTATGTGAATTATACCTTGTGAAAGTGTTAGTTACTCAGTCGTGTCCCACTCTTTGTGACCCCCTGGACTGTATCCTCTGTCCATGCAATTCTCCAGGCAAGAATACTGAAGTGGGTAGCCATTCCCTTTGCCAGGGGATCTTCCCGATCCTGGGATCGAACCAGGGTCTCATGCACTGCAGAAAGATTCTTTGCCGTCTGAAATGTGTAGTAGTTAATTTTATGTGTCAACTTGGCTAGGCCACAATACCCAGATATTTGATCAAACACTCTTCTAGATGCTTCTGTGCAGGTATTTTTCTAGATGAAATTATCATTTAAATTAGACTTTGAATAAAGCTGATTCCCCTCCATAATGTGAGTGGACCTCATCCAGTCAATTAAAGGCCTTAAAAGAAAAACACTGAGGTTCCCCAAGGAAGAGGGAATTCTGCTAGCAGATGGTCTTTGGACTTGAACTGCAACTCTTCCCTGAGTTTCCAGCCAGCCAGCCTGCCCTGTAGATTATGGAGTTGCCAAGCCTCTACAATTGCCTGAGCCAGTTCCTTAAATTAAATTAATCTTTCTCTCATCACTCCCATGCGCGCGCGCACACACACACACACACACACACACACATTCAATCGGCTTTGTTTGTCTGGAGAATCTTGACTAATAGAAGAAGAAAAGTAAGCCTATATGATAACTCTTCCCTGAGAACCTTAGGACCTTGTTGGAGAAAGAGCAATATGACCATAGAGTTTGTAATTAAAATTATTTCTGTGAGCACAAAATCAGTATGAGATGCAACTTTGCTGAATGACTGAGATTATTGTGAGATTTGGGTTGATTGTGGACCTTCAGTTACTCCAATTTGGTTGCAAGATGATGTCAGAATACACAGCCTAACTTCTGACTCAGGTTTTCAAATCAACCAAAAGTGATTAATGGTTGTTTTCTTCCAGCATTAACAAGTTAAGTTTCCCAGAGATGTCTTACATGCTGCCATATTAGTGATCCTTGCAGAAATATTAATATATGCCTTTTATCTCTGTGTTGAGGTATCCCTGCTCTCTTGGAAGCACCAGGTAGTGTCAACATGTCACAAAGAGAGCCTTAAAGTCATCTCTTATTGTGTGTGTGCCTGTACTCTGCTTGCAGGATCTTAGTTCCCCAACCAGGGATTGAACCTGGGGCCATGACAGTGAAAGTTAGGAGTCCTAACTGGACCACCAGGGAACTCCCTAACTTGTCTCTTCTTTTTGCTTTGACCTTGATCTTTGGGAACTCCTGTGTTGACCTAGTGTATCTGTTCCTGGGAAAAACTTGCTGGGCCCTCTTTTGTGACTCACCCTAGAGATATTTGCATTCCTGTGATTGGTTTTCCTTCCCCTTCTAAATTGTGTAACACTTATAGTTTCCATTTTCTGACCCTCCACCCTGCAGGGATGTCCTGGCTCTGAGATATTTGTAAGTACCATTGGCAAATGAGATTAGGTAACCTCACTTCTGTACTGGCATTTATATTTTACATGGTAAGAGTTCCAGTTTCAGAAAGAAGCTTCTCTGTTGTGTTGGGTGTGGCACCAAATTTATTTAGTAACAGAAAATTCTGCTGGAAATCTTTATGCTGAAAAGTGAAGTTCTCAGAACACAAGGAACTAAAACATTTGAGTGTCTATCACAAACTGATAGAGGGCTTCCCAGGTGGTGCTAGTGTTTAAGAACTCGCCTGCTAATGCAAGAGATTTAGGAGAACTGGGTTCGATCCCTGGGTGGGGAAGATCCCCTGGAGGAGGAAATGGCAACCCACTCCAGTATTCTTGCCTGGAGAATCCCATGGACAGAGGAGCCTGGAGGGCTACAGTACATAGGGCTGCAAAGAGTCCGACATTATTGAAGTGACTTAGCATGCACATACTGATAACATGATTTTGTTTACAGCTATTTAACAGCTTAACATATCCAACTACTCTTCCATCGAAGTAAATGTTTCCTTTGAAAAATATCTTGTATCTCACAGGGTAGATCCTACCCCTTCAGGGGCTCATTCCCATCTGTGTGGAATCCTATCGCCTACCTAGATCATAACAACCTCTGGAGGACGATGGATGACATGGGACGAGAGGTAAAACTTCCACAAACTTGTTTGATGACATTTGTATTCTTCATGATAAGTTTAGTCCTTCAAAGAAGGTGAAACATGTTACCAATGCCTAGCACATTGTGTAGCACAGTGACTCACAGTAAAGATTTGTGAGATGAATGAATGAACTTGTTTCTAACCCTTGAAAGAATGGGATGTCCAACAGGCTCCTATTTGCATACTACCAATGGTTGGGGGCAGATTTTATATCATCCAGCCTTCCTGTGATAATGTTTCTAATTTAGAATATCTTCAGAAATAGCAAATAAGATTTATGGATCTTTGAGTCTTCACCATGCCCAAACCTGCATCTCCTAAGTAAGCACAGACAGAGTAAACACACCTGAAGGTCCAGTTTAAACATGATTTGGTGCAACTGACTGATCTTCGTTAAGGCATTGAATTTCTATATTGTTCTCTCTAAATTAGTAACTTAGTAGTTATTTGGAAACCGCCTGATTACAGCATTGCCTCCATTTATAGTAGAGGAAAGGTTAGCATAAATTAAATATGGATTGAGTGAATAGGAATAGGAAATGAATTGTGCAATAAAAACCACTATTGAAGGAATTTGGAATTTTGTTTAAGTTAGAGTTTTTAATACTATTGAAACAGTTATTTAAAATGGAAAATTGCATTTGTTTTTTCCCCTCTGAATCATCACCTGAATGTAGATTCCCAGTGATGCCCCATGGAAGGCACCCCTTGCAGAACAGTGGGACCTGATGACAATGAAGGAGCTGCTAGACAAGATCTGCTGGACAGAGTAAGACTTGCCATCAGGCACAAGCATTGACTGTGACCCACTTTCAGATGTATTTAGCAATTCCATTCAGCAGCTCTGAGATAAAGAGCTGTTTTGTGTCTAAAACCACAGTTGGTCAAGTGGAGGGCTGAAAAATATTGGGATCATGTCCTAAAGGTGTCTATACATCAAACCTACTTCTTTGAAATAGTTTTGCATCACAAAGGTGATATTGCCCCATAAAGTCCTCAGGACAGTCTAGAATGCACCATCTTTTTTATTTAGAACAGCTTAAAGGGAGACTTCCTTGGCGGTCCGGTAGTTAGGACTCTGTGCTTCCAGTGCAGGGGGCACGGTTTTAACCCCTGGTGGGGGAAACTAAGATCCTGCAAGGCATGGCCAAAATAAATAAATAAATAAATAATAAATATGTTATGTGTTTTTTAAAAAAGGAACAGTTTAAAGATCTCATTTATCAAGCTGTTGAAGTAAAGATAGTTTTGTACTCCTTGCTAAAGGTCAGGTATGGAGATAGCGTATCAGGATATACATTTCAAACACCTATGGAACGGGATGCAACTCTTTAAGGTTTTGAAGAGGAACTTCTAGAGAAGTTCTCTGGATCATTCACAAGTATCCAGGAAACATGGATGATTGGACTGACTACTCCCCATTAAGGAGATATAAGTAGCATTGAAAGAAAGTGCGCACGAGTCAAGTATTAAATTGCAGTTGGCAGAGTTGTGGAAGCTGTATAGACAGACAAGATGGAGAGGCCTCATTGATCTTGGATATCAGGGAAAAGGGAAAGGATTAAATCTCAAGCATGTGGTGAATTTGTGGTAAGCAAAGTAAGAAAATGGAATTGCAATGATGGTATTTGCCCATGCTAAACAGAATTGGTTGGGAATATGACTCTGCGATTGATAGCTTCATCCTCTAGGCATTGGGGAGGGAAGTTGGAGCTCTGGCAACTAAAAGTGAAAAAAAAGATTTTAGGGATATCTGAATCTGAGATATGGAAATAATCAAAAGACATAAAATGTACATACTTTGTCATATGTAAATTCAACTTTAAAAATTTAGCTTAAAGAAGGAGAGAGAAAGGGAGATTCAAAGCATTATTATTATTCTTTTGGTCACATGGCTTGCAAGATCTTAGTTCCCTGAACAGTAATCAAACCCAGGCCCTTGACAGTAGAAGCACAGAGTCCTCACCACTGGATCACCAGGGAATTTCCTCAAAGCATTATTTTTAAAAGGAAAATCTAAAGGTCCTATAATTGAAGATTGGTTAAATCAATTATGCTTTGTCTGAAAATTGGAATACCTTAAAATCTTTAAAAATTTTGTTGTAGAAGACTATTTAATGGCTTGAAAAAATTGTATTATTAAACAAATAGAAAAGCAGGCTATAACCAAGTATGTACAGTGTGATCTCATTTCTAAAAAGAAAACAGTATATGCATTGCAAGCAATGGACACCCATCAGAACTTTTTTTTAACATATATTACAATGCAAACATTTGTCCAAGTAATTAAAATTCTTCATCAAATACCATATTTCATGGTTGCAGGCTATTCCATGAAAAGTGAATATCATAATGTGTTTATCTATTATCATTAGACATTTTAGTTACTTCCAGTTTTTAGTCATTGCCATTATTATTATATAATAGTTTGTGATGAAAAGGTACTACTCTTATGTCTTCAGCCTTTGAAAGCAACCAATTTTGAAAGAGTAAAACCCTTTTATTGTCATGAAATCATGCCTATTATTAATTACATCATTTTAACACATGTGATCTACCACATTTTTTGAGAATGTAGCTTGTGATGCAAAGTATTTTTTTTGGTAATAAAAGTGCAGTATTAAGTTTGAAATTTTATACATGAGATTTTCAAAATATAATGAGTATTTATTACCTGCATTTATTTTATAACTCCTGTTATAGAAAGCTTTTAATAAATTCATAAACTCTCCAGAGAGCCTTAAAGCTCATTGAAGATAAGACTAATTATATTTCTTTGGTCTCATAGAGATCTGAGTTTTTCTGTCATAATCCTTGGCCTTGTCCTCCCGTTAGTGAATATTTCAGGTTGTTGGCTGACAAAATACTGCATTCTGAGATGTTAGGACTATATGAACACAAGCTAATTTTTAAATTTTTCCTAAGCAAGATAACTATGATATCATTTCCTAGTTTCAAAGGAAGTAACCCTTGGGACTTCTCTGGTGGTCCAGTGGCTACGACTCTGCTCTCCCAATGCAGGGGGCCCAGGTTTGATACCTGGTCAGAGAACTAGATCCCACATGCTGCAACTAAGACCCGGTGTAGCCAAATATTTTAAAAATAAAAATAATAAAGGGAAGGGGACAGCAGAGGGTGAGATGTTTGGATGGCATCACCGGCTCAATGGAGATGAGTTTGGGTAAACTCTGGGAGTTGGTGATGGACAGGGAAGCCTGGCTTGCTGCAGTCCATGGGGTCACAAAGAGTCAGACATGACTGAGTGACTGAACTGAACAGAACTGAACTAAATCCTCACCATATCCAACCTACTGTGATTCAAACTAAAGTACAATCATACATTCAAAGATTAATGTTGATCATTCTGTCTGTTATTATCATTTTATAATATGCTTTAAGAAACACATCAAATTTATGATATAGTCACAACTATGTAAATATACTTTTTAAAATCTATAACTAGAAAAAATGCACCAAAATGAGTCTAGGGATTATCTTTGGAGGAGGCAGAAATGTGGAAGATACTCATTCTCTCATCTTTTTATTTTTATGAATTTTCAAAATTTTATATAATATAGATATATTTTTTCCATGTAGAAAATATAGTAACGTTTACCTTTTAAAAAGTCAACAGGGCAAGGAACACAAAAATATTATTGCACTCTCTTCCTTGACCTTCCATCCCTCAGATATTTTTCTTCTCATTTCTTTTCCCACTGAAGCTCCCAGAGTAAATCAAATAAAGCATTAGATATGGCCTGACCCTTCAGAGAGAATGACTTATACATCTCCCTTGATTTCAAACCAGTTATTTCTTTCTCACCAAAGTGGCAACAGCAACAATCACAGCACCATTTTTATGTTTGATATTGGTTATCTAGCTAGGGCAATATTAGATTTTAGTTATTTATGACTCCCTTTACTTTATATTGTCCGAATTCACCTATAAATTAAAGAATGAAGGAAAAAAGATGTCAGGAAACAGCAAAGGATATTTTTACTTTGAAGTAATATTTTAAACCATTCTTTGCTTTAGATAGATGACAAAAATTGCCTCTGCAAAGAAAGCATGAGTCAGCAATTTCCGTCCCTTCAATTATCATGAGGAATCTTGCAAAACTAACTTTAAGTCACTTCAAAATATATATTACACTATTTTCAGGCTTAATGATGGGGACTATCACAAAAGTGCTGCTGCTGCTAGGTTGCTTCAGTCGTGTCCAACTCTGTGAGACCGCATAGACGCAGTCCACCAGGCCCCGCCGTCCCTGGGATTCTCCAGGCAAGAATACTGGAGTGGGCTGCCATTTCCTTCTCCACACAAAAGTGCTACCAGGTGGTTATGGTTGCAAACATTGTCACAAGTAACTGGTGTGTGCTATGTGATTCTATAAACTTCCAGAGCTAAAGTAGAGAGGTGTCCCTTGGTAAGTATTCGTCCCTTCGAGGTCAGCTGATTAATTATAAAAAGCATTTTGAGGTATTAAAAGCATGAGGTTTGAATCATGTATGATGTGGTTTACAGTGGTACCATTTAGTGAGCTCCCTGAGACACAGTTTTGGGGCTTATGAATTGGGGAAAAATAATAACTGTCATTTTTATAGCAAATCAGTAAGACAGTGGGTTTAAAAAAAAAAAAACATGGAGTATGAAAGAGTTCAATAAGTAGAAGACGGTATTATTTATTCCATGCATTGTCAGCATTACCAGGTAGCAAATTCTGCCTCAGATGTAAAACAACATGCAAACTTTATGTCAAAGTCAAAAGCGGGGTTGGTCCTAATTAAAGATATCCCAGAGTATACATTACTCCTGGTGAATTTTAGGATCTGTTAGATGTAACTGAGTTGTTGGAATTGCATGAGATCTTTCACCTTCTGGTGTGGCTATAGGTAGGACATAACCTCTCATCATTTACCTGCCATCCTCAAGCAAAAATTCATTTATTTTTTGCCTCCTCCATTCTTTGGGCTAGTCTTCCATTAGGTGGTAAAATAACTGAATAGGTAACTGTGACTAATTCTGTACTTGGTACATCACCTAGCTTATCCTTTGAGCATTATCAGTTCAGTTCAGTCACTCAGTCGTGTCTGACTCTTTGAGACCCCATGGACTACAGCATGTCACTCTTCCCTGTCCATCACCAACTCCTGGAGCTTGCTCAAACTCATGTCCATCAAGTCAGTGATGTCATCCAACCATCTCATCCTCTGTTGTCCCCTTCTACTGCCTTCAGTCTTTCCCAGCGGCAGGGTCTTTTCCAGTGAGTCAGTTCTTTGCATCAAGTGGCCAAAGTATTGGAGTTTCAGCTTCAACATCAGTCCTTCCAATGAATATTCAGGACTGATTTCCTTTAGGGTTGACTGGTTTGATCTCCTTGCTTATAGATCATTTAAAAATAATTTTTAGGGAGTTCCCCCTAGTGGCCTAGTAGTTAAGGATTCCAGGCTGTGGCACAGCTTCAATCCCTGGTTGGGAAACTGAGATCCCAAAAGTTGTTCTGTTGTTTAATTGCTCAGTTGTGTCCAACTCTTTGCTACCCCATGGACTGTATCCCGCCAGGCTCCTCTGCCCAGATTTCCTAGGCAAGAATACTGGAGTGAGTTGCCATTTCCTTCCCCACGGGATCTTCCCCACCCAGGGTTCGAACCTGGGTCTCCTGCATCTCCTGCACTGGCAGGTGGATTCTTTACTCCTGAGACATGAGTGAAGCTCTGCAAGTTGTGTGGCATGGCCAAAAAAAAAAAAAAATAAATAAATAAAATGAAAGTAATGTTGAATTGATATTTCTCATCAATGTGTGTTCATTCAGTCATATAACAAGTAGTCTATTAAGTGCTTACTATGTGCCAGACACTATTTTATTAAAGAGGACACTATGGTGAGCAAAAAAGTTAAGATTCCCGTCTCACTGATGATATTCTAGTGTGGGAGACAGCAATAAAAAATAATAAACCAATAATTAAGATAAGACAGTGAAAAGAATTTAAATGATACTGTGGTAAAATGAAAGAGAATGCCAGTGTGCTGGGAATATAGAAGCTGGTGCTCACTTTCATGAACATGTAAGAGTTCATTTGGGGTTTCCCTGGTGGTCCATGGGCCTGGTTGCTCTGTGGCATGTGGGATCCTCCTCGACCAGAGATCGAACCCATATCCCACATGCCACAGAACAACTAGGCCCATGTACCACAGCTACTGAGCCTACACAGCCCTAGAGCCCGTGCTCCACAACAAGAGAACCCACCACAGTGAGAAACCTGCACACCAAAACTAGAGAGTAGTCTTTACCCACTGCAACTAGAGAAAAACCCACATGGCAATGGAGACCTATCACAGCCAAAAGTAACTATATAATTAACTAAACAAAAATTTTAAATTTAGTTTAAAAAGCTCATCTTTCTGAGGAGATATTAGAATAAGTAGAGAAGGTATGGGATGAAGTAGAAAACACAGAAATGGGTTAGACCACTTAGGGCTTTGAAGGCTGTGGTAAAAGATCTGAATCTTATTCTGGTTTTGAAAGGATGCCACTGGAGAGTTTTAAGCAGGGGGATGACATGACTTTACACTTTAAAAAGAGCATCACAGAGGCAAAGGCAATAAAAAGATTTTGGTTCAAGCATGGTAAATAGATACTAGGTGAGGACAAGTGGAACCTTGTCCAGGAACCAGTCTGGAGGAAATAATTGCGATAATCTTGGCAAGAGAGGTTGCCAAGTTGGTAGTGATGAAGATGGAGTGATGTGGTGAGAAACAATAGGACTTCCCAATGGATTGGATGGGGGTGGGGATGATGGAAAGAGAAATTAAAGTTGATTTCTCTAGCATTGGCCTTAGCAAGTAGATGAATGGTGATGCCTTTTACTGAGATGGGGATGACTGGAAGAGTAGCAAGTATGTAGAGAGAAATCATGTGTGTATTAGTTGCTCAGTCGTATCCGACTCTTTGTGACCCCATGGACTATAGCCCACTGGGCTCCTCTGTCCATGGGATTCTCCAGGCAAGAATACTGGAGTGGGTAGCCATTTCCTTCTCCAGGGGAATCTTCCTGACCCAGGGATTGAACCTGGGTCTTCTGCATTGCAGGCAGATTCTTTACTACCTGAGCCACCAGAGAAGCCTGATTCTGAGTTAGGTCTTTTGATGAAGGGGAAAATATCTCTCTTATTCCCCAAATCTCTGATGTCATGTTTTATAATATTAGATTCTAGTGATGAATTTCTGCAACTTGCCAAATTGCATTCCACTTAGCCAAGTAAATTTGCTGTTTCAATAATTTCCAGACAATGAAGAAGATGCTCCCCTGCATTTGCCAATGTTACCCTTATTTCTTCCTGAGCAGATCTTCGAAGCAGCTTGCTATTCTCTTTGTGAACCTTTGCGTTGCTGCAGAGATCCATGAGGTCTCCGCTCTCTGGTTCCTGTGGTATGTGAAGCAGTGTGGGGGCACGACCAGGATCTTCTCAACATCCAATGGAGGGCAGGTACCCATTCATACCCGGACCATTCCAACAGAAAACGACCACTGCCTAATTGAAAGATTCCCATCATCCATCCTTCAGTCATGAACAGATGGAGCTGGAGGCACACTTGTGGCTTTTGGAATTTAAGCATAGCAGCTCAAAGTGACTTTTGAAAGGGGGAGTCTGTTGTTAGGTATCAAATGTGACAACCCAGTGGCCAATAGCATTTAAAAATTAGGCTTTTTAATGTACTTTTGCAATCTTCCATTTGGATATACATCCAATGATAGTTTAATAAGTTTGTAAGAGACCGGCTGATGAACTGGGTACTTCTTAGAAAGCTCGACGGAGAAAATCAGAAATACATTTTCAATTAAAAACACATGCATCAAGTGGAATTCATTCATTTTACTCATTCTTATTCATTTACTCATGCTTATTTCCTGAACCCCAGCCTTTTATAAGGGGCTGTGCTGGGCACTGTAGGAAATGGATTAAGAGTTCTTAGATAATCTGATTGACAGCCACTTTCCTTTTCTCTCCTTACTCTTCCTCCCCCTTCCTTCCTCTCATCTCCCTTCTCCTTCTCCCCCTCTGTTCTCTTTCTCTTTCACCTTCTTCTTCTGAGAACTATTTGAAATATTCTTTTTAAAATTCAGCTGAACTGAACATGTAGGAGGAGGTGGTCAGTTCAACTGTGTGTACAATCACACAGAACATTTTGAAGTGTTTTCCTGGGCTCAGGACAAGGGGGTGCAGGGAGGTGAAATGACCTCAGTGACCACAGAAACAGCAGGTACCTGACCCAGGGTGAGACAGACAGACTGTATGTAACAGGGAGTAAGCTGGCCTGGGGATGGGTAGGCCAGCAAGGTTCTGAGACTGAGTGACAAGGAGGGGGGAAACAGGCCTATGCAGGCTCAGGCAAGTGGTTGGCCCAGCCACCCAATCAAAGGATGCCGGTGGAACACAGAGTGGAGGCAGCGGCCAGGCAGGTGCGACTTGGGAGTCAGGTTGAGGATGTCCACCTGAGTTTGGAGCCTAGGAGCCCATCAGAACATAGTATGAAATGTGACTGTTAGAAAACCTGTGATTTTGTTGAAAGCAGCTCCCAGGTGGCGCTAGTGGTAAAGAATCCACCTGCAATGCAGGAGACCCAAGTTGGATCCTTGGGTTGGGAAGATCCCCTGGAAGAGAGAATGGCTTCCCACTTCAGTATTCTTGCCTGGAGAATCCCATGGACAGAGGAGCCTGGTGGGATACAGGCCATGGGGTCTCAAAGAGTAGGACACGACTGAGGTGACTGAGGACAGATGCATCCATCATTAGTTAGACAACAATGGTGAAAAAAGCAGCCACGAGAGCAACAGGAAGCTAAATAAAATAAAACCTCACACAGTAAAGATGTGTGAGGAAAACTAGCAATTTGTATCTATTCTTATATTTCCTACTCACTTTTTTTTTTCCTTTCCAGGAGAGAAAAATTGTGGGTGGATCTGGTCAAGTGAGTGAGCGGATAATGGACCTCCTGGGGGATCGAGTGAAGCTGGAGAGGCCTGTGATCCACATTGACCAGACAGGAGAAAATGTCCTTGTGGAGACCCTAAACCATGAATTGTACGAGGTAACCAAGAGCCTTAAACCAGATGGAGGAGACCAGAGTCCCATAGGTAACCAGAGCGTAAATCCAGACTTCACAGACAATGTCTTTGCCCAAAGTGAAAAAGCTACCTCTATCTGAAAGAAAGGAAAAGGGAACCACAATATTTGGGGCTAAGTCGGAAGATTTATGAAATATATACTATCAATCCTCTGTATTGGGCTCCTGCAGAATTAGAAAGCCAAAGAAAGCAATGATTTGATACATATTAAGTGCTTCCTATGTGCCTGGCATTCTTCTTGGAGTTGGAAACATAGCAGTGAACAAAACAGGTAAAATTGCTTGCTTTCATGTGACTTATGTTCTAGTAAGGAGAAAAGCTGTAATCAAATATATAGTTAAAACATAGACAATGCCAGATAGTGATGAGTACTGTGGGAAAAACCAAACAGGGAAGGGATGGGGGGGTGGTGCCAGAGGCGGGGTGGGCCACTGGTTATGCAATTTGAAACAAGGTCATCAAGGATGGTCTCACTCAGAAGGTGATGTTTGAGGGCAGAACCCAAAGAGATGACAGATTGAGCCAGGTGGCTCTCTGGGGAATAATTTTTCAGATAGACTGAACATCAGTGCAAAAGCTCTGAGGTAGGAGCAAGCCTGGCATAATGAAGTAACAGCAAGGTAGTAAAAATGGTGATATCAAGAGGATTGTGGGGAAGAGTAACAGAAGATGAGATCAGAGATGTGACAGGGGCTCCTCTCATGTATGGCTTTGAAAGTGACTGTGAGGAACTTGGCTTTGACTCCAAGTGTGATGGGAAGTCATTGGAGGTTTTGAACTAAGGAACAATCAGAGCTCATTTTGATTTTAACAGGGCCCTTCTAGTTTCTCTGTTAAGAAGAGATTGAGTGGGGGACAAAGATAAAATGAGGGAGAAACATTAAAAAAAGAGCAAAAACAACCCACCAACAATGTTTAATCACACCATTTTTTTTTTCCAGGCTAAGTATGTGATTAGCGCTGTTCCTCCTGTTCTGGGCATGAAGATTCACTTCAATCCCCCTCTGCCAATGATGAGAAATCAGCTGATCACTCGTGTGCCTTTGGGTTCAGTCATCAAGAGTATAGTTTATTATAAAGAGCCCTTCTGGAGGAATATGGGTGAGTACTTTTCTTTGGTAGAAGGTCCAAAAAACTTGATGCAAAGTTACACATTTGTGTATAACTGTTTTTCTTAGCATGCTGGCATAAAACATTCATCCAGGTTCTAAGGTCAGTTCCATCAAGTAAAGTACATTGGCACAAACTCATGGTATTAACTTTCCTTAGAATATGATTAACTCTTTTTATGATTCAATATGGGCTTCCCAGGTGGTTCTAGTGGTAAAGAACCTACTTGCCAATGTAAGAGACTCTGGTTCGATCCCTGGGTTGGGAAGATCCCCTGGAGGAGGAAATGGCAACCCACTCCAGTATTCTTGCCTGGAGAATCCACATGGACAGAGGGGCCTGGTGGGCTACAGTCCATGGGGTCTCAAAGAGTCATACACGACTGAGGCAACTTAGCACAGCACATCATAATTCAATATAATGTTTACTTAATCCTTTCACATAATTTTGTGAAAATAGATTATTAACACTTTCTGATACATTTTTTTTTAAAGTACGAGTTTATAGAGCCATTCACAAAGATGGGGATTCTGAAAATTTCCAGGCAATTTCTCGCTTGTGTCAGGATTCTACTGTGTAAAATAGATATTCAATAAGTGTGTTGCTCTTCTGGATAGAACATTACAGAGATGCCCATTAAAATACTAGATTCTACAACGATGGAAATGTTCCAGAGTGGTTCTCTCCAGTATACTGGTCACTTGTGTTGAGAACTGAATACTTGAAATGTAGCTAATGAGACTGAGGACCTGAATTTTTCAATTTTGTTTCATTTTAATTGCTTCAAAGTCAAATATAAGAAACCACACATGGCTACTTCATTTTAATTGCTTCAAATTTAAAAAATATTATGCAGCCATTAAAAAGAAAGAAATAATGCCATTTGTAGCAGCGTGGATGGACCTAGAGATTATCACACTGAGTGAAGTAAGCCAGACAAAGACAAATGCCATATGATATCACTTATATGTGGAATCTAAAAAGAAAAAAATACAAATGAACTTATTTACAAAATAGAAACAGACTCACAGGCTTAGAGAACGAATTTATGGTTACCCTGTGGGGAAAGGTTGTGGGGAGGGATAGTTAGGGAGTTTGGGATTGACATGTACATACTGCTCTATTTAAAATGGATAACCAACAAGGTCTTAAATGTATAGCACAGGGAACTTGGCTCAATATTCTATAATAACCTAAATGGGAAAAGAATCTGAAAAAGAGTAGATATGTGTATATATATTAATGTATTAACTGAGTCACTTTGTTATACCCTTAAAAATATCACAACACTCTTAATCAACTTTACTCCAATATGAAATTTAAAAGCTTAAAAAAAAGAAAAAAAATTCAAATGTAAAAAAGCCATACATGCGTACTGTATTGAACAGCACAATGCTAGAGTCTTCTCACATTTACCCTCATCACAGCTCCTTTTCTTCCAAGAGGAGGCCAGGTAAGAACAGTCAGTACCTGAGACTGAGGACAAAGGGAAGGGTGGACTGAAATGAGGACCTAGATTACAGAAGATGAGAGGAAGGTTGTACTGCAGGCAAAGGGGGAAAGTTCCACATTTTTCTCTTAGGACAGTTCTTATTGTATCTACCCCTTTCCACCACATTGCAGCCTCCTAATCCTCCACCTTTGCAGGACATTATATTTAGGACTGTTACTGGGTTGGTACATCACTTGAGCAAGTAATCTATGTTTTCCAAAGAACAGGACGTGACCCACCATGGAGAGCTTGTTGGTGCTAAGCTGCTTCCCTCCATGACCACAGACATTTCTTCACATCTTGGCATTTAAATCTACTTTATTTCAACAAGTGAATAAACAATAATTCCTTTTATGGCTCTATAAAAATGTGTCCAGTATTTATGCTGATAATAGGCATTTCCATTGTTTCCAAGTTTTTGCTATTATATACGATGCTGCAATAAACAGCTTCTTCTGTATCGCTCTGAAGATTTGAATAGGAGCATTTTGATAAAATTTGTAAGTTTTATCATTAATAAGAGTTCAGAACTATGTAAAATCATTTTGTCAATTATCTTTTTATCCTGTGCTCATTAATTTTTTTCTGCATCTGTTGCAAATATTTTCTTCCAGTGTATCATTTTTAAAAATGTGTTTATGATGGTTTCATCCTACTACAAAATATATCTACATGGGGCTTTTCTGGACCAACCATTCTTCTCTGATCTTTGTCACTGGGTTCCAAATGTTTTTTTGTAGCACGCTATATATAAAGGGCTTCCCCAGTGGCTCAGCAGTAAAGAGTCCGCCTGCAGTGCAGGAAATGCAGATTGGATCCCTGGGTCAGGAAGATCCTCTGGAGGAGGGCATGGAGACCCACTCCAGTATTCGTGCCTGGGAAATCCCGTGGACAGAGGAGCCTGGTGGTTTACGATGCATGGGGGTTGCAAAAGAATCAGGCATAGCTTAGCAGCTAAACAGAAAACCACTGAATATATTATTTCTAAATTATGTCAGAAAAAAAGATATCTTTATTATAAGATATACAGAAGTAGTCAAAACAGTTAAAATTGAAAATAAGAATTTTCTCCCCTACCAGATGTGTGATCTAGGTGTGCACATTCCACTTTAGAGAACATAGATTTCCATTATCTAGTCCTTTGGCAGCACTTGTACTATTGTAATCCCTGTGACTTTATAATATATATGTTTGATATCTGGTACAAGAGTCTCTCTTTGGCTTCCCAGGTGGTGCTAGTGGTAAAGAGTCACACACCACTGAAGCAGCTTAGTACACACACACATTCTCTCTTCATTATTTTTCCTATAATTTTGTCCTTGGTAAATATCAGTTATTCTTCCAGATGAATGTGATCATCTGCTCAGCAGTCCTCCCACACTCCCACACTAAAAAAAAAGCTGCTCACGTGTTATTTTATTCTGAATAGTCCTCTTTGCATGCGTGTACTAAGTCATTTCAGTCGTGTCTGAATCTGTGAGACCCTATAGACTGTAACCCGCCAGGCTCCTCTGTCCATGGGATTCTCCAGGCAACAATACTGGAGTGGTTGCCATGCCCTCCTCCAGGTCATTTTCCTGACCCAGGGTTCGAACCCACATCTCTTATGTCTTCTGTGTTGGCAGGCAGGTTTGTTTGTTTGTTTGTTTTTTTAATAAACCACTAGCACCACCTGGGAATAGTCCTCTTTGTCAACGACCATAGGTACGATATCTTCTTTTTTCCCTGAGGATGTTACTTGCCACTTTACTGTCTTTTTTTCCTGAGTATTCCTTTTTGTTTGTTAGTTTGTTTCTGCTTTTGTCTGCTTCTTTTGTTAAAGGACTTTGTTAAATGTCTAGATGTCCTTGAATGCCCCTTTTTAAGAGTAAGTCTGGAGCAAGTTAATCAGAAGTCCCCATGCATGGGCAGAACTCCTCAGCTTTCTACCTACAAATGACAGAAATACTACTGTTGTCACCTGATTTGTCCTGGCATGAACAGGACTCTTCTCTCTGCCCCTTGGTCCTTTGCTTCCTCCCAGCACACCTGGGTGGTGCCGAGGCCAAGCAGCGTCTCTGCCCAGGAAGCAGGGCCTCCACCTCAGCCAGTTCAGCTGACTATGTGACCAGTGTGCCCTTGCTCTTTCCTCTTATCACATCCTCTCTTCTTCCTTGTCTTCTTATAACATGGTGATTCCTTACCTATTTCTCTTGTATTCTTAAATCTTCTTAAATTCTCGGACATACTTTAAACATTTCTTCTCCCTGTAGTTCAGTTTTCCTCAATGTTTTTCCTAGCCCCAAAACACCTGCTGCTGCTGCTAAGTCACTTCAGTAGTGGCCGACTCTGTGCGACCCCATAGACGGCAGCCCACCAGGCTCCCCCGTCCCTGGGATTCTCCAGGCAAGAACACTGGAGTGGGTTGCCATTTCCTTCTCCAAAGCATTAAAATGAAAAATGAAAGTGAAGATGCTCAGTCGTGTCTGACTCTTCGCGACCCCATGGACTGCAGCCTACCAGGCTCCTCCATCTATGGGATTTTCCAGGCAAGAGTACTGGAATGGGGTACCATTGCCTTCTCCGCCAAAACACCTTAGGGACATGCAAATGCCCCTCAATCCAGTGACCGACTAGGACACTGATTCTCACAGATGCCAAGTGGGGAGGGTCAGGAAGGGAGACAGAGAAGCAAATGCAGGTTAAAAGGTCTACAGGTGTGCCTGCTCACACACAAGTTGGGGGCATTGCATATCCTCCAAGTTCTTTCTCTAGTCTTTATTTCTCATTTTGAAGCCCTCTCATTGGATTTTCTATGCAACCTTTGTTCCAAAGTGTCCCACCATAATTTTGTTCAAACAATCCCAATTTCCTAGTAAATGATGGAGCAGGAAGAGTGGTACACTGTAGTAGGATCTTATTCTAACATTTAAAATTCTGCCTTGACATTTTCAACATTGCCCTGTTGTATTCTTTTGTTAAAATTACATATCTTTTTTGTTCAGGACGGGAATCAGATAAGCACTTTGTCCATAATGAGCTGAAATTGTTTCCCAAGTTGTTCTGGAGGTGCTGTGTGAAATGCTTTCTGCCCTGTCTACAGATAATCAAGAATTAGTTAGCATAAGTACGTGTGTGCTATGTCACTTCAGTCATATCTGACTCTTTGAGGCCCTTTGGACTATAATCTCCCAGGCTCCTCTGTCCATGGGATCCTCCAGACAGGAATATTGGAGTGGGTTGCCATACCCTCCTCCAGGGGATCTTCCTGACCCAGGGATAAAACCCTCTTGTCTTATGTCTCCTACATTGACAGATGGGTTCTTTACTTCTAGAGCCATCCAAGTGGCCCCTCATAAAATGTGAATGTTCACATAAAATGTTCCTATTTTACAGGAATAGAATAGCATGTCTTTGACATATCTTTGGTTTTATGTGATTTCTTGTGAAAAAAGAAATGGGGACACGTGGTAATGGTAACGGAAACAAGATTGTGTTTAATGGTGGCCTGGATTAGTTCATGATACCACATTGCTTCTTTGCAGAGAGGAACTTAGCATTTGAGTTTTTCACCAAATGTTGGCTCCTTCGCTTTTCAAACATCAGTTTGATTTGCCTTCATATATTTAGAGTATAAGGTCTTATTTTCATCCTTTGGGCTTCTCAAATTGAAAACTGTATGCTTCTTTGTAACTGCTACAGGTAGTTTGATAGGGTGATGAATGTCTTTTTCTATTTTGTTCTTCTCCAAGATTACTGTGGAAGCATGATTATTGAAGGAGAGGAAGCTCCAGTTGCCTACGCATTGGATGATACTAAACCTGATGGCTGCTATCCTGCCATAATAGGGTAAGGCATGCTTGTGGTGGTGTGATGATCTTCCATATTGATAATGTATTCCTATACTATCAATAATTGTGTCCCAAGCTTTGTTCAATAATTTTTTACCCAATGTCACTTTTCTCCAAATCCAGCAGTAAGAAAGTATTGATTTTTTACAAATAATGTCTTCTGGGAATTCCCTGGTAGTCCACTGGTTAAGACTCCACACTTTCATTACAGGGGACACAGGTTTGATCTCTGCTCAGGTCCTGCAAGCTACATGGCAAGGCCAAAAAAAAAAATTAAAAATAATGTCTTTCAAGGAATAAAAATTTAGAAAGGAATTAGAATATCAATAACATTTTAAAATGTGTTATACTAGTTTTCTTCTTCATGTTTGGCACTGGGAGTTGATATATTATGGTAAGCTATCTTTTGTGAAAGTATGATATGAAGATTTGACTTAGGGTGTTCCACTAAGAAGGCTTCTTGTGGAGGCTACATGAGCATCAATGGTACTTATGTGGGATGCTGAGATTTCCCATAAGAGAGACGCCAAGACCAGCCCAGTCCTCAGTTTGGTAGGGAAGAGCAATGCAAATGTGGATGTCATGGGGATGGAGAGGTGGTGATTACCTGGAGTAGCCGAAACTGAGATGGGTCTTAGGATATGTATGAGTTTATTTCAGAGAGAGCCAAAGGTCAAAAGAGGAAGATCAAAACCATTTGGAGGCAATCATAGGGCTGGAAATGAAGGCAGATTCTAGAAGGCTGGTCACTAGGGAGAAGCATATTGAAGACAGAACCAAAGAACAAGGACTGGATGGAACTGTAACGTCTCAGGCACATCTTAGATAGGCATTTGAGACCCAGAGTGTATTCCTATTGACCGCCAGTCATATATGGGGAGATGGCTTAGTCATGGTAAACCCCTAGGCAAAAATTATGGCCAGTGATCTGTTTTTAGTCCCTTGAATTCCTAAAACTAGAAGGTATCTTTTAATGTCAGGAATGTAACACCTAAATAGTAAAATATGGAACATAAAATAAAACAGTGTGTTGTTTGTTTCTTCTGGTTTACTTTTAACTTGTACACTAGACACATGTGTAGCTATAGAAATGAGGCCAAGATGATAGCATCCATTGATTTTCCCCCATTTTCTTGTTTGTATGTTTTAGATTTATCCTTGCTCACAAAGCCAGAAAACTGGCCCGTCTTACCAAGGAGGAAAGGTAAGGAAAAAAGTATCTGTTCTTTCTTCCCTCCCTCTCTGCCTCCCTCCCTTCCTTCCTTTCCCCCTCTCTCCCTTCCTGCGCTGCCCCATACTCCTCTCCTTTTCCCCCTCTGTTTCTTCTTTCTACCTACTTTCAACTTCACTTAACTTTTTAACTTAAAGACTGCTTAATGTGTATTCCTAACATGACATATCTGTTATGTTTCATCATGAGGGTCTTGTAGAGAGTCACAATGCTGATAACTGAAGAACCAAGTGTTCAAAATTCAAATTTGTTGAGTTTATCATGCATAAGATACCATGCAAGGAGCTATGGAGAATACAAAAATGGATATAGCCCAGGAGTTGAAAACTTACTGGGGGAGGAGATAACCAGGTAAACAAATGACCCCTTGCAGGGCACTCTGACATACATCCTGCATGAAGGATGCATAACAGTGAAAAAGTATAGTTACAGATGGACTAGGTTCCCTGGAGGTGGCAATTTCTTTCAGCAATTTGTATTCACCACTACCAACTATATTCCCATACCACCCCTGATAACATGGTGTGCTTCTGGCATGGTGTGCATGCTTAGTCATGTCTAACTCTGCAAGTTCAAAGACTATAGCCTGCCAGGCTCTTCTGTCCATGGGGTTTCCCAGGCAAGAATACTGGAGCAGGTTGCCATTTCCTTCTTCAGGGCACATTCCCAACCCAGGGATCAAAGCCATGTCTCCTGTGTCTCCTGCATTGTCAGGCAAATTCTTTACCACTGCGCCTCCTTGGGAGCCTCCCTGATAACATATTTACCAACTAAGAGACCCTGGAGGGCTTTCCAGGTGGCACTAGTGGTAAAGAACCCGCCTGCCAACGCAGGAGATGCAGGAGACGTGGGTTTGATCCCTGGGTTGGGAAGGTCCCCTGGAGAAGGAAATGGCAACCTACCTCAGTATTCTTTCCTGGGAAATACTATGGACAGAGGAGCCTGGTGGGCTACAGTCCATGGGGTCACAAAGAGTCAAACATGATGAGCATGCACACACAAGAGCCCATGAATGCATTATGGCCCATCCTCTCCTGCCTCCATCCTTAGCTTGCTGCTTTATGACTATTGCCACCACTGTGCTTGGCCAGGGCTATGGAGGTCTGATTGGGCCACTTACCTAAAAAATGTCCCCACTAGAATATTAAGATCCAAAAAGGGATGGATTGGGAGTTTGGAATTAGCAGATGCAAACTCTTATACATAGAATGGATAGACAGCAAGGTCCTGCTGTATAGCACAGGGAACTATTTTCAATACCGGGTGATAAACCATAATGGAAAAGAATATGAAAAAAAGAATGTACAAAAATTACATATAATAAAACATATTATAAACCAATAAGAAAATAGTATTATTTGTAAATATTAATAATTACAGTATTAAGTAAAATAAAATGTTACAAAACAGTAAAAAAAAAAAAATCCGTGAAAGTAGGAAGTTTTGTCTGGTTGGTTCACTGCTGAATCTCCAGTGCCTGGAACAGATCTTTTCCCAATATGTCTTTTGATCATATTTATGGGTTATTCATTTTATACTATAATAAAGATTTAGCTTTTTATGAAGTTAGGTTGATCTGTTTTTAAAATCATTGCTTCTGAATGGTCTATCATGCATAGAAAAGACTTTTCCATTTCAAGATTGTTTTAAATTACTCATTTTCAGTGCTTTTCTGTTTTCATCTATTCTGTGTAAATCTTTGATCCTTCTGAAATATATTTTGGTGTAAGAAGTCACATAGGAGTCCAATTTTGCTTCTTTCATGGGTAGCTATTTGTCCCAGCGTCATTTTATTGAATAATCTATCTTTTCTTCATGAGTTTAAAATGCCTGCCTTTATGATTCTATATTCCCTTATATATTTGGTTCTATTTAATTTTCTTTGTTCTGTCTGACTATTCCTCTGCTTCTGCCAAATTAGTCCATTTATGTAAAAAGAAATTAGAGAGAAAAAATGAAAGAGAGAGAGATGGCAGGGTAGAAAGAAGGGAGGAAGGATGGAAGGAAGGAGGGATGGAAGAGAGGGAAGAAGGGAGGAGAAATTAGGAATTTTCTTTTTTAATTTATTTTATTGAAATATAGTTAATTTACAATGTTATGTTAATTTCTTCTGCACAGCAAGGTGACTCAATTATGCATACATATACTAGGCATTTTCATATATTTTTATTTGTAGAAAGAGTTCCTGTGTTTAAAATAATAATAATGATAATACTAATAATACTTTTGAAAGTCATTGGCCTAACTCTATATCACCTATAAGATCCCGTTTAACACTATTATTCTATAAAAATCAGAATGGAAATAAGTCTAATCTTATACCTTAATTGACTAATTATAACTTTTGGCTTATATCCGATTCCCCCATAAGACTAAATCTCTTAAGAGCTATCATTTATCAAGCATTATTATGTATGTAGCAGTTGTTGTGGAGATGGTGAGAGACAGGGAAGCCTGGAGTGCTGCATGAAGTCCATGGGGTCAAAAAGAGTCGGACACGACTGAGCAACTGAACAACAATAACCAGTTATTCAACTGGAAACTTTATATGCTTTTTACCCAAGTTTGAGAACTTAATCACCTAGAAGGTTTGTGAAAACACAGATGCTGCCACTGCTGTTTCTGAGTTGGCAGGTCTGGGATGAGATCTGAGAGTCTGCATTTCTGACAAGCTCCCAAATGATGCAGTTGCTACTGGTCCTGGGGCCACACTGTTTTACCGTGATTAGTGAAAAAATCAGACGAGTTTGTGGACAAAACTAAAGGTCAGAGAGCTTAAGTAACCTGCTTAAGACTTCACAGCATGGAAGAGACAGAAGCAGAATTCAAAGTTGTTCTTGCTCCACTTTGCCCATTTCCTCTTAGAGGGATGAAGAGAAGGAAGGTAGCAGGAATCCTATCTTTGTCCTCCCAGAATCTCCAGTGCTTAGGAAATTGACAACAGGTACACAAGTTTTCCTTCAATGAATGAATAAATTGCCCTGTGCCCCTGGTGATGCAGGCAATGCATCCCTTCCTTTTCATTATAACTTTTTGTGACCTCATAGATTTCAGATACTGGAACTAAAATAAAGTGCCTTGCTTTGAAAAGTTAAAATCAAATGTCAAGTGGAAGCAAAAGTTCAGAGGCTCAGAATCTTTTTGAATGATGAGGATCATAGACACCTCTTCCACTTTTGCTTCCTTCTTCATTTTCATTTATTTTTTTCCTCCCCTCTTCCCATAGGTTGAAGAAACTCTGTGACCTCTATGCAAAGGTTCTGGGCTCACAAGAAGCTTTGCACGTAAGGCTTCCCAACCCTTCCCTATGGGAGAGAGATCTTGCTTTTCTTTTTCTTTCTTTCTTTCTCTTTTTTTTTCAACTTTGGCAGCACTGTGCAGCATGTGGGATCTTAGTTCCCTGACCAGGGATTGAACCTGTGCACCCTGCAGTGGGAGCTGGGAATCTTAACCACTGGACCACCAGGGAACCCGAGAGATCTTTCTTTGTTGTCTTGGGCCTGGCAGTGATGGGCTCATGCAAGTCAGGTTCTAGAGTTCATGTTTTCCTTGATCTATTCTTGGTGGGGTGTGCACAACAGGGTTGGTCAACTTATGAGTTGTCCTGGAGGGCATGGGCCCTGGCTAGTGGCAGCTTGAAAAGTGAAAGTGAAGTCGTTCAGTCATGTCTGACTCTTTGTGGCCCCATGGACTATTGCCTACCAGGCCACTCCATCCATGGGATTTTCCAGGCAAGAGTACTGGAGTGAGTTGTCATTTCCTTCTCCAAGTGGCAGCTTAGGGACCCTGCAAACTAATGTGTTTTACGTGATGCTACCCTTGTCCCTGAGTTCAGAGCTCTTCCTGGAGCAGGGAAGACATGCTGATTGGCTCAAGGTGAGCCTTGTCAGCTGAGCTTCCTAAACATCTTTGCAGGTAGTTCTCCTCCCCTCTGCATGGCTAAAGGCGGGATGATATGGGAGGCAGGGTGGTAGGGGCATTTAGTGATAGTCAAAGGGCCCAATGTGTCCATAACCAGTAGCCATAACCACCACTCCCATCAATATTTAAAACAAGCCGACGTTTCCTTCCATTCACCAGACTGCTGGGTTTTTAATGTTTTGACACGGATTACATCACCTTTTGGAAGTTATTATTAAATCCATTTATCCATGAAGCATTTGAAGACAATGGAAAACAATGTATGAATGAGCGGTTAAAGCATAAGGAAAATCTAATGAAGGGGCTAAGAATGTTTAACTTGTTAAGCCTCTTAAATCTAAATCTCTGCACCACACATCATGACCTAGTTGAACAGCTCCATGGCTTCATCTAATCCCTTGAACATTTATTTTGCTCAACTTTGCAATGCCTGACTTCCTCCTAGTCAAGTTGTTGTGGTTTTTGAATTTGTCATTTTTGTTCATCTTTTTAAAGCAAGAGTTACTTGTTATAGGTGAAACACATGCTCTTGAAGCTTCGAAGAATTCGTCCTCAGCAAATGAACAAGAATGACAAATTGATTGGTTTGGAGAGAAACATAATAATAATGAAGAATGGGTTTTGTTTCATTTTTCATTGTCATACACCATTTAACAAGATTAAGTATAAGCATAGCCTCTGGACACAAGTATACTATGAGTGAAGTAGCAAAACCCAAACTATACGCACATTAAAAATTAATCCTGTCACAGCTGCTGAAATTGGCTGGTCTTTATATTTAAAAAATACATTTCAAGATATTTCTCCCTGGCAGATACTCAAGTTTTTTTGAAGTTACGTTCTGAGACACCCTCAGACTGAGGCAATGCAGAGCTGAGAATCCTCCAACCACCTGTGAGATGGTTGTTTGGGGAACCCCAGTGGGAGGGGAAAGCAGTTCTCAAATTCCCAAAAAGCTGATCATTTTTAACAGGGGGACAGTCTCTTTTTCTTAGAAAAATATGGATAATTAATTTCTGATGATAAAAATGAGTTGTTTGTTCTTGGCATAGAGAGTGGCACTTGCTTTGGCATTTGTCCTGGGAGTAGGGAAAGGTGAAACGTGAAATCCAAACTTTCTTCTGATTGGCTGACTGGATATAGGCAGAGAAGATGCTTATGAGGTGGTTATCACACTCAGATGCAGAGAGGGAAGAGGGCTGGGCCAGAGGCATCGGAGCCACTTATACCTAGCATAAAGGGCCTTATGCTTTGTTCATTGTTACAAATAGCTATTCAAAGTCCCATGTGTGACTGCAATTGTTTTAAATGAAACAACTTTTCCAAATCTCTTTTTACAACTAACATTTTTCTCTTAAGACTTGCCAGGTTGATTTTATTAATAACTTTTCAAAATAATGCTTAATGATAACACTTAGGTTTACTTTTTTTTAAAATAAAACTTGCACTTCACAAAACCTCAGCTAATGTTTTGCCTGTTCATGGCAAAAACACATTTTTCAGGCTGATCATTGCCTGCATGTATTGCCATCAATGGGCTTCAGCTGGTAAAGAATCTGCCTGCAATGCAAGAGACCCCAGTTCGATTCCTGGGTCAGGAAGTTCCCCTGGAGAAGGGATAGGCTACCCACTCCAGTATTCTTGGGCTTCCCTGATGGCTCAGATGGTAAAGAATCTGCCTGCAATGCAGGAGACCTGTGTTTGATCCCTGGGTTGGGAAGATCCCCTGGAAGATCCCCTGCAAGAGGGCATGGCAACCTATTCCAGTATTCTTGCCTGGAGAATCCCCATGGGCAAAGGAGCCTGGCGGACTACAGTCCATAGGGTCTCAAAGAGTCGGACATGTCTGAGCGACCAAACACAGCACAGCACCGCACATTGCCATCAACAGAATTGCCTACATCCCATGAAAACATTAATTTGTCTGTCCTAGCTTCTCTTAACAAAGTTGACTTGCACCAAAAACGTGAATCTGGTCATTCTTTTTACTTAACAGTCAGTCTTTCTACTTTTTTTCCTCCTCCTTACTCCAGTAAGCATAAATCCTTTTTCAAACTTGTCCTGAAACTATTAGGCACTAAAAGCTTCTTAATACCTAAGACCACTTTAAACATGGAGCTAGACAGTTGCAATTTATGAACGGTACCTGGGACATGAATGAAGCAAGTGTGAAAACTTTCTAAGTCAGAATTTCTTAGAAGTTTATAACCAAGGACATTTACATGTTCGAAGTCATATCTCTAAAAACATTAGAACAATAAGGCTTTATTTTAGACATAGGGCTTCCCTGATAGCTCAATTGGTAAAGAATCTGCCTGCAATGCAGGAGACCCCCGTTCGATTCCTGGGTCAGGAAGATCTACTGGAGAAGGGATAGGCTACCCACTCCAGTATTCTTGGGCTTCCATTGTGGCTCAGCTGGTAAAGAATCTGCCTGCAATACAGGAAACCTGGATTCGATCCCTGGGTTGGGAAGATCCCCTGGAGTAGGGAATGGTTACCCACTCCAGTATTCTGACCTGGAGAATTCCATGGACTGTATAGTCCATGGGGTCGCAAAGGTTTGGACACAACTGAGTGATACTTTAGATATATGTTGGTTCTCCAGTATGAAGCCTACCATGATGTGTTTGATTTATTCTGGATGAGATCACTTCCTTTGGTTCTTCTCTGAGTTTTCGTCACTCTGCCTTGCAGCCGGTGCACTATGAAGAGAAGAACTGGTGTGAGGAGCAGTACTCAGCAGGTTGCTACACTTCTTACTTTCCTCCTGGAATCATGACTCAATATGGAAGGTAGAGTAAAAGTGGGCTCAGTTCTAACAGAAATTCCCTGAACCTGAATCCATAACTCTAAGAAGGTTCATGTAGCTCTTCTCTCTTGTTTCTTGTAAATGCTTGGAAAAAATCCCCAAATCCCCGGGTTCCTTTGTATCTTGTCAATCTCACTACTGAAGTCTTTGCAATGCCACATCATGGTGGCGCTTTGGACTCTGATTTCCTCTGAAGGAGCAATCCCAGTCAATAGAACCAAAGAAGATCGCAGCCTAAGATTAGGAATTTAGATAGGGGGTTCATGTATATTGTCAGAAGAACTGTCTCTATAGCAAGTGTAGGGCTCAGTGAAACTTCCTCAAATGGCACCACATAAGTGCCAACATGGGTACAGCATTATAAAAACAAATTGAGTTCTAGACTGGGGATAAAGGGACTTGGGTTCCACTCCTGATTCTACCAATAACCAACTTTTCCATCCTGGACAGGCCATTTCTCTCTGAACCTTATTTTCCTTATCAGGTGTATGAGAAAACACAAGGTAGCATATAGTAGACAAGAATCAGTATATTAATGAGAGCATACTTTTTAAAACATCTTTATTGGGATATAATTCACATACCATTACTTTGTCAACAAAGGTCTGTCTAGTCAAAGCTATGGTTTTTCCAGTAGTCATGTATGGATGTGAGAGTTGGACTATAAAGAAAGCTGAGCACTGAAAATTTTTGAACTGTGGTGTTGGAGAAGACTCTTGAGAATCCCTTGGACTGCAAGGAGATCCGACCAGTCCATCCTAAAGAAAATCAGTCCTGAATATTCATTGGAAGGACTGATGCTGAAGCTGAAACTCCAATACTTTGGCCACATGATGGGAAGAACTGATTCACTGAAAAAGACGCTGATGCTGGTAAAGATTGAAGGCAGGAGGAGAGGGCGATGACAGAGGATGAGATGGTTGGATGGCATCACTGACTCGATGGACATGAGTTTGAGTAAGCCTTGGGAGTTGGTGATGGACAAGGAAGCCTGGCGTGCTACAATCCATGAGGTCGCAAAGAGTCGGACACAACTGAGCGACTGAACTGAATTCATGTACCATAAAATCCACCCATTCAAAATGCATAATTCAATGGTTTTAGCATTTTATAGTGTTGTGCAGACAAGTATGAATCATTAGTGTTTAGTTTATTGTAGTTAACAAGGTATGAATTAATAATACAGCAGTAATTATTATGACCTTTAGAGCAATACTAAACCAAGGAATCATTTGGTACCAAGAGCTCAATCTAAACAGAATAGGAAATGTAGAGTGATGAGTAAAAGACTGAGTATGCAACAGAAAAAAAAAGGGTGTGAGTAAATGTAAATGGCTAGTCAATATGTTCGTGAAAACCAGTCAAAGAAGGATTAAAACCTGCTTGTGAGAAGATACATAGTGGCTTTGGTTAGCACTGTCTGCATCTTCCTGAAGATGGCAAAATATCTATGAGATCATTCAGGGGTAAAAGGGCGCCACCTGATTAGTTACTGGGTCAATAAGCTAATTTTTGTATATGCTGATTGTAGCCTATGTCAGTAATAATTATTTCATTCATCACTTATTACCTGTGTGCCAACTATTTGCCAAGCATTCTGCTGCAAACTTCAGTATAGGTAGACCTCGAAGATATTGAGGGTTCAGTTCCAGACCACTACAATAAAGTGAGTCACACAATTTTTGTTTTTTTTTGGTTTCCTAGTGCATAGTTTCCTTGTTAGTACAGTGGTGAGTATCCCCGCCTGTCAGGTGGGAGACCGGGGTTACATTCCCTGAAGCGGAGGTGAGCTCTTTTGGAGCTTCCCAGGTGGCACTGTGGTAAAGAGTCTGCCTGCAATGCAGGAGACTCGGGTTCGATCCCTGGGTTGGGAAGATCCCCTGGAGGAGGGCCTGGCAACCCACTCCAGTATTCTTGCTTGGAGAACCCTTCCTGAAGACCCTTAGGCTCTGCAACCCATGCTGGCTATGGGTAATTCCAGATGATGCTGTGTATTGTTATCAGCATTCTAGTCTTTTATAATATCTTCTATTCTCCTCCTTTTTTTTTCTTGATGGCTGCAATAAGGGTAGGTGAAAGAAAACCCACCAGTTCAAACCAGTTCATTTTGTTTTCTCTGAAAAGTTCAGTGATGTACAGTGGTGGCTAAGAGTCAGGGTATTAGCTCTGGACATCCACATCCATTATCTGGAATATAATGGAAACATAGACTAGGATGAATAATGCCATATTGATGGTGCCTCCCTTATGGTATTTTTCTCAAGGTAACAGCAAACTACCCCTCTTATAAACCAAATGCTGTGACCTTCTGTACTATTATATAGCATATGGGCTTCTTCTTGTTGCTGTTGTTTAGTCACTCAATCATATCCGACTCTTTGCAACCCCACACACTATAGCCCACCAGGCTCCTCTGTCCAAGGGGATTCTCCAGACAAGAATACTGGAGTGGGTTGCCATTTCCTCCTACAGGGGATCTTCCTGACCCAGGGATCAAACCTGCATCTCTTACATTTCCTGCATTGCAGGGGAATTCTTTACCACTAAGCCACCAGGAAGCCTGGGGCAATTTTCTTTAGTGGAGGCAATAGCCAAACAATGCTGACATCAGAAGACTACCTTTCAGCAGCTAGGAGTAAGTCCTTCATTCTTGAAGGAAGGTCTAGATGGACCTAATGTCCACCATAGTTCCTGTACCTCCATATTCTCATCTGCAAAATGAGGATAATGATAGTATTGACCTCTTAGGGTTGTGGTAAAGATTAATGCACTTAGAGGAGCGCTTGGTGACCCCAAAATGTTAACTGTTATCATTTAATGCAATAAAACTCTTCACACTGATAAAGTGCTCAATGAATGGTTATTGTGGAGCCATAGTGATATGCACAGGTTTGTTGAATGTTGCTGGTAAGAAAGGTTTTAAAAATCATTGGATCATGCCCCTTAAGGGATGAGGAAGCTGGAGCTCAGTGAGAGAACACTTTGCCAAATTCACTGGTGGAATGACCAGGTGGGAAACTGGGGGCATGAGTCTCCTTGCTCAAACCTGGTGAATCATAAAAGGAGCTATCCATGACCAGGCACATATAGTTCCTCACTTCATGTACTGGAAGCAAATGCTTCTTTTACCTCGGTTGATGACAGCCCCTTTACCTGTAAGCTTCTTGGTACAGGAGTGAATTTTGGCTTTTATTCCACTTTTGTCTGTGGCAGAGATCATGCAAGAACTGAAGGAAACTATGAACTTCATTCCAAAATTGCCATTGGACCTCCTGACATTTAGAATCTGAGGAAAGTGACCAGCCTTGGTCTTTGTAGGAAGGCTCTCCTCTGGCTCTCTGAGACTGACCACTGTTATCTCTTTGCTTTCATTTCAAGGGTTCTACGCCAGCCAGTGGGCAGGATTTACTTTGCAGGCACAGAGACTGCTACACACTGGAGTGGCTACATGGAGGGGGCTGTGGAGGCTGGCGAGAGAGCAGCCCGAGAGGTAGGGCCTGAGGTCACATGCTGTGGAGAAGGAAGTAACTCAGGGTCCTGACAAGCAGGTAAAACATGTCTGAGATCCTGGAGGCCAACTCCCCATTAACCCCCATCTGAAAAACCACAGAACACCCTTTTAACAGTAGTCTTGGGTGAAACGAACACCTTAACCCCAAAGTAATGAGTCCAAGGTAAAGACTCCATGGGGCAAAATATCACCATGGCTATACTTGAGAGAGAACTTCGGTCTAATATTATGAAACCAAACATGTTTACCTTAGGACTCAGAATTCATTTATATATTTCCTGACAGTTCCTCTGGTCTCATCCCTAATAAGGCGTGTTTGCGGCTGCTAAAATTTATTGTGAGTCTAATGGTTGTGTTTAGTCGCTCAGTCGTGTCTGACTCTGTGCAACCCTATGGACTGTAGCCCACCAGGCTCCTCTGTCTTTGGAATTCTCCAGACAAGAATATTGGAGTGGGTTGCCATGCCCTCCTCTAGGGCATCTTCCCAACCCAGGGATCGAACCCAAGTCTCCTGCGTTGCAGGCAGATTCCTTACCACTGAACCACCAGGGAAGCCCAAGATGTCACAGATGAAAGATCTTTTGGATCTTTTTTGTGGACTACACTGGCTTTTACGCTGGGGCGTTTAATGGATATCCCAAAAGACATTGTTAATCTCTATTTAAAGAGCAGATTAGGAGATTAAGAGAAAGATTAGTAGATTAGGAGAAAGGCAGTGTTGATTTTGTTATTCACCAAGATGCTCTTTCTTTTCAGATCCTGCATGCCATGGGCAAGATCCCAGAGGATGAAATCTGGCTGCCTGAACCGGAGTCTGTGGTAGGTTCTATTTTATTTCATGAATTTAAATCTCTTTCCTTTGAGAACAGTTATTTGCAAATAGAACACGCTTGCATATATTCACAGACCCTCCCCATAGTGATTCAACTCATGGATGTTTAAAGGGATGTCATGGGTTAGGGCAGAGGTGAGGGATTTAGAAGAACTTTGATAAATTTGTAGCTGCCACATGCCTTGCAGATTATTAGGAAAAAATATTTTTGTGTCGGGTAAGATTACTCAGAGAATTCTAGGCTTATTAAGAACTCGATAAAGGTCTCTTGAATAACTCTCTAACCTGGTGATAGGGTGGAGGAAATGAAGGGAAGATAAGTCAGTATCCTCTGTTCAGAGGGCAAAGAAGTGGAATGAAACAGGGCAGATTTAAATTAAAAATGCATTTTCAATATGCCTATCATTTTGTAATAAGACCCCAGGAGATTTTCCTGACTGGAAGGAAGGATACATAGGGGGATAGAGTGAAATGCATTGTAGAGGACAAGTGTCTGAAAGGTCAGAGTTACTCGTCTATCAGGTAGAAGGTCAAAGGCAATAGCCTGGTCACTCCAAAGTCTTTCTCTTAGTGCTTCTGTCAGAGATGGGATTGAGGTCTGAGTGGACCACAGATCCATTCACTCAACACATATTTATTGTGCAACCCACCACTGGCACAATACTTATTGTGTCATCAGCCACTGGGATAATGGTACAACCATATTTTCAGAGCTCAGCACGTGGTGGAGAAAAGAGATGACAACCAAAAATCCCCATGTGTGATGAAGATGACATACTGAGAATGTAAACAGAGAGAGTCAACTTAGCTTGGGGACACTGGAAAGGCTCCCGGAGGAAGTGAGGGGGAAACTGAGGCTTGAAGTTAGTGGTCAGAATTAACTAATTCAAGGGCCCCGTGGTTGGAGAGCATCACTGACTCAATGGATGTGAACTTGGGCAAACTCTGGGAGTTGGTGAGGGACAGGGAGGCCTGGCATGCTGCAGTCCATGGGGTCGCAGAGAGTTGGACGTGACCAAGCAACTGAACAATAACAACTGGTGGGGAATGGAGATGAATATTCTGAGCAAAGGGAATGTGATGTTTCGTGGCCTGGAGGTTGGCAAATGTGAGCCACATTCAGAGAACTGGGGGAAATACAGACCTTCTGGAGCAAGGTGTACAAGCCCTGTACTGACACCAAGTATTCTCTGACCCCAGGATGTTCCTGCAAAGCCCATCACCACCACCTTCTTGCAAAGGCATTTGCCCTCTGTGCCTGGCCTGCTGAAGCTGTTTGGATTGACCACCATCTTTTCAGCAACTGCTCTCGGCTACCTGGCCCACAAGAGGGGGCTCCTGGTGCGAATCTAAAGAAAGGGCATCTGTAACCACATTCTGGTGTGTGGGTTTGGGGGAAGGCATTGTAATAAAGTTCCACAAAGATGCAAAGAATGTAGAGTGAGGCGGGGAGCATGACGATCAGTCAGACTTTCTGACCACAGGATACACAGTCTCTCTTTCTCCATTTTGACACCTGTGTATTGTCTAGTACCTAGCTTAGCACTCTGTCTCACCCACTTCCAAGTTCACTGGCTCCAGAATCTTTACAGTAGTTAAATTCGCTTGTGAAAGGTCCTTGATATCCTACTATACATTGCCCAGACGCACACACACACACACACACACACACACACACACACACACACACAAAACACTTTTTTCTTACCTCTATGGCTCTGTGCTTGTCCTTCCTCTTTCCTGTAATGTCCACAACCTTCCAGGCTCTCTGCATTTGTCTTTAGAATCCCATATTGTTACAGCTGGAAGAACTTAGACACCATCAAATCCTTACTTTCTATTTTAGAGTTGAGCAAACTGAAATGGAGAGAGGAGGAACTTAATGGCTTAATGTCCACAATAAGCCACTGATATTTTGGTGACTAGGACACAGGTCCATTGCTTTATCCCGTCTCTCAGGATGGATTGCCCAATCACCCTTCTCTATTCCCTGCCAAGGTCACTGATGGTGTCCCCTTGGGTGGGTTTACTCTGTACTAAGTTGTTTTGTGCTACTCAGATGCTACTGCTCAGTATATATCCTTAAGTCTTACTGTCTTGGGCAGTGTGTCTTCAGCTCATTTTACTTTTTTTTCATGGTAAGAGTTCTTGTCTTTTCTTTCTTTTGTATCCTCCACTGAATCTGGATACAAAGGTTGGTGCACATTTGGGTAATTCAAATAAAGTTGATTGACCAGATGTCTGTTGTCTTTTCTTTTTGGGTAATGACTTTCAGGGTTTTGATTGATCAAATCAAGATTCAGTATTAGGCATATAATTGAGGCTTAAAAGCATTTAGTCAAAATTTCCTTGAAGCTCAGATGATGCATGCATTTGGATTGTGTGCTCCATCATGGGTGGTGTCTATGTGAGCACTTGGCAAGTGATTTATAATGATATGATAAGGATGCTAAAAGACAGAGTTCCTTGTTTCTGCCCCCCAAAAGGCTGTCAAAATAATTGACATATTAATAAGCAAGATGCTTTAACAATTAAGATAATTGTAATATTTCAGTTGGCCTTTCATATGCCTGTTATTGCAAAGCTTTTTACTAGGTACACTCATTAATTTAAAACCACAGTTCCACAGTCCATTAATCCTATTTGAACTACTTTTTAAATGAGATATTCATTTCAAAGTACTCATACATCTCAACTCGCAAGGTCAGGTTTTATCAGGATATATTTTAAATCCGTAAATGACAATTCTCACATGCTCCTTTAGAAAATGAACGTTATTATTCTTAGCATAAATGACATTTAAGAAATCTCCCAGGATTAATCAATAGTAATATAGTTTCTGATTTTACAGTGACATTTACACTTGTGAATTTGTAGGAACTTTAGAGACTAAATGAGGAGATGAAAAAACCAACTAAGACTTCTGAAGTGATTTCTCTGGCAGTCTGGTGGTTGGGACTCCGAGTTTCTACTGCAAGAGGTACAGTTTGGATCCCTAGTCAGGGTACTGAGGTTCCCACATGCTGTGTGGCATGGCCAAAATAAAAAGACTTCTGCAACAATTTTGGTTTTTGGATCTGTCTAGAAATATAATGTATTTGTCCTAGGAGTGTCTACTTGAGCATGTTGCCCTTTAAAACAGCCCCACCCACCCTGAGTGTAGTCATACTACTCAACTCCAGCATATCCATTAAGTGAAAAATGTTTGTTGCTCACCAGGCTCCTCTGTCCATGGAATTCTCCAGGCAAGGATTCTGGAGTGGGTTGCCATTCCCTTCTCTGGGTCATCTACCTGATCCAGGGATCAAACCTGGGTCTCTCACATATACAGGCAGGTTCTTTACCATCTGAGCCACCAGAGTGGCACTTAAACTGTGATACTGCAATTATGACATCTTGTTAAATTACATGATTTGAGGTGCCAAGTTACATTTGATATTAATTACCAAGGTAAATCCTGAGATAGATGAAAATGGGAAGCTTTAAATGAAAGACCTAAAAACCAATTTCTTGTCTGATGAAACCTCTCACCAGTTTTGAGTGTATGAAAAGAATGGGAATTAAAAAAAATTTTTTTCTTGAAATATAGTTGGTTTACAATATTCTGTTTAGCTTCAGGTGTAAAGCAAAGTTATTCAGTTACATATATATACATACATATATGTACATATATTCTTTTCATTCTCTTCTGTTATAGTTTTTTTTCAAGAAAATGAATATATGTGGGATCTAAAAAATGATACAAATGAACTGTTTTACAAAACAGAAATAGACTCACATAGTACACAAACTTATGGTTACTAAAGGGGAAAGGGGGGAGGGATAAATTAGGAGTTTGAGATGAAAATATGCACATTACTGTATATAAAATGGGATTCCCAGGTGGCACTAGTGATAAGGAATCTGCCTGTCAATGCAGGAGAATTAAGAGATGCAGTTTCAATCCTTGGGTCAGAAGATCCCCTGGAGGAGGGCGTGGAAACCCACTCCAGTATTCTTGCCTGGAGAATCCCATGGACAGAGGAGCCTGGCAGGCTACAGTCCATGGGGTTGCAAAGATTCGGACACAACTGAAGTGACTTAGCATACATGCATGAGAATATAAAATAAATAACAAGGCCCTACTGTCTAGCACACGGAGGGGATTTGAAGGGGTAGATTCGTGAAGAGATCTCTTTAGAGAGAGTCACCATTCTTGAGTCCAACCCACCCCAAAAGGGAAGGCCGGGGTTTTACCTTCTCATCTGAAGCCTTGTGAGAAGGGCTTCAAGGATACCCTTTCGACCACTTGAAACACCCCAGAAGAATTGAAAGTCTTGGCTTTGTTCAAGACACTTCTGACTAGAGAGTGAGGGTATGTCTCCGAGACGACCAGAAAACAGAAGCTGCATGGGGATCAACATTGAGGGACAAAGGAGAGGTCTTCCTGTGTTATGGTAGTCAAAGTCAGAAAAGGCCAGCACAAAATTCCCTGAAAAAAAGTCTGTAAGTGTCCCCACAAGAAAAAGTCAGTTCTCATAACAGCCGGGCCCAGAGCATATAAAACTATCTTAGAAGAGGACGGGTCAAGTAGGAATGTTCAGGAGCCCTTTTCCCTCCTCACTTTCCACACTCAACCCATGAAGTCCCAGAATTCACAGTTGGCAAGATCAGCAAGGAGAGGAAAAGCTAACCACAGGCTCCTGCAAGATCCTAAATCAAGTTTAGAGGTTTGCTTCTTCCACAATATTAGACAGGCTTCCCTGGTGGCTCTGATGGTTAAAAAAAAAAAAAAAAAAAAAAGTCTGCTTGCAATGCAGGAGACGCTGGTTCGATACCTGGGTTAGAAAGATCCTCTGGAGAAGGGAATGGCAACCTACTCCAGTATTCTTGCCTGGATAATTCTATGAACAGAGGAGCCTGGCTGGCTACAGTCCCTAGGGTCATAAAGAGTCGGACACGACTGAGGGACTAACACTTTCACACTTTCAATATTAGACATTCAAATTATTGAATTGAAGTTGTGCTTTGTGATTTAAAGAAACCTTAGGATTGCCTCTAATTTAAGAGTGATTGGTAAAATCATAGACCTGCCCAGGTTTTCAGCAAGAAGGGAAGACACTTCTCTCACTGTTCAGGTTTAAATGAACAACAGAAGGTAAACTTATGATTTCTATGCATCCTATTCAATGCACTGGTGTTATTGTCACCTATTCATGAGAGCAGAGACTGTCTTTTATTCATCTTTTCATCTTCCTTATCACTATGGTGTATAAGCCATCAAAATTTCTCAAAAATAAATGAATAGATTCCTGTAATTTTCATTATAATTTTGGATTTGATGATCCTATCATACCTACTCTTTTTAAAGAGAATGTATCAGTGAGAGCTAATTTTCATATTTCCTCATATTCATTTTGAAAGTATCAACTGCCTTGATCATGTTTTAGTTGAGGTAGCTCTAATAAGTGGTTGGATCTGATTTTCTTCTTGATTAGGTGATGAGTCTAAAGCAATGATTCTCAACTGAGGGTACACACCACAATTAGTGGGGTGCTTTGGAAAGACCCAGATGTCTTCATGCTTTACATGAGAAGTTTAATTTAGCAGATTGAGAAGAAGGCAAGTATCCTCATAGAACTTTGTGAAGGTTTTGCGTGAATACTAAGTCACTTCAGTCATGTCTGACTCTGCAACTCCATGGACTGTAGCCCACCAGGCTCCTTTGTCCATGGGATTCTCCTGGAAAGAATACTGGAGCGGGTTGCCATGTCCTCCTCCAGGGGATCTTCCCTGACCCAGGGATCAAACCCAGGTCTCTTACATTTTCTGCATTGACAGGTGGGTTCTTTACCACTAGTGCTACCTGGGAAGCCAGCACATACACATAACTAAAACTAAAACTGAAAATTAAAAAAAAATTTTTAAGTGGTCAGAAGTGGATCCTTTCAGGTAGGACACTTTCTTTTGTGATCCTACTACTCTGGACACAACAGATTGGACTAGGGTTGATTCCTGAGTCAAAGATAGAACTCTATGAGTGGGCAGTGGCCCATGAGTTGGCCTGACCCAAAGTCTTTCTGTGGCAGTGGTGAAGGTAAAATGGACACAAGGAGGGGCAGACTAAGGCATAGGAATGGAGAAATGTTGGCTGATTCCAAGGGAGTGACAGTAGAGTGGTTTCTGTGTCACTCGGCCTATTGACGCATCTCAGCAGCAATGGCCAATGCTCTAGGACATTAGAAGTGTCCTGAACCCTAGTGGCCTAATCTCCCCGACTTCTTTACTTCCTCTAGTTTTTCTATAGAAACTCAATGTATCTAACAGAGATGTCCTTTTTCCTGCCAACATTCACCTCCCTCCTATCTGCTTCC